GGGGGGGAAGCTGGAAAATGATGCAGCTTGTTGGGTGGATTAGGCAGCCATGCCTGGAAGTGGCAAGCTGAAAGAGCCGCAGATTTGGAAGCCTAGAGGGATTATTGGGCTGCCTCGTCTGACTTTGCAGCACGACAGAGGAAAGCAGACTGACACACACACACCCCCCCTCCCCCTGTGCTTTCTGTAGCAAGTCCAACAATCTGCGTAACGCCCTGGCAAGCCTCTTCGGTTGCGATTTCTACATTTTTAGTAGGGTTAATAATGTCGGGAGCAGCAGGCAAAGGGTGCTGGCAAACGTGAGCGGTTCTAGCAGGAGTTGTAGAAAAGCACGTTCATCACGTCAGCACTTGGGAGGCCTGGAGAGCTGGTGATGATAGGTTTCAGGAAAAGACTGCATAAATAGGAGAAGAGAGGCCTCTATAAACAACTGTGATGGACATGCTTCAAGTACGGAAGAAGGGGAGAGCAGTCCGACTTACTGATGCTCTAGATAGTGGTGACCTTGGTTGGTCCAACCAGCAAAATTTAACCCCGAAGATCTGCCCGGTTCCAATGCCAGCTCCCAGAAACAGCTTGGGTCTGCCAGAAATGGCGTGCCACAGACAGGCTGCCTTTGGGAAGCCGAGTGTCACCCCTGGTCTGCGAATTGAGCAGGGGCTGAATAACCCTGCAGCTCATCAGCTGATATCACTGTGGGTCCTTGGAGAGGACAGTTCTCCCTCAAGCTGGTGACCTTTAGGCAGCCAGTATTGCTGTAGACATGGGCTGGTAGAGCTGCTCACCCCAGGGCTGGGACAGGGACATATGACTCGTGACTGGGGTGGATGCTCTTCCTGCTCAGGACTTCACTGCAGCAAAGGACATGAGAATTGGCAAACTTCTCTGTGGTTGCTTCCAAGCCTCTGCTCATCTATCTACCTTTGCAGTGCTACCTGCACTACACCACCTCTGCCTCTACACAATCCCCTCCACTGCCTTCTCCCCTCTCTTTTTGTGTACTCGCTGAGAACCACAGTACCAACAACCAAGCCTTAATTGCTGGGCACCCTTCAGAAAAGGTCCCACAGCCCCTATCTACAAAACCAAGCGCCTTATACTGCACTTCACACCATCAGAGCATCGCACAGGCATTGAAGCGTTTGTCCTCGCAACACAAATTCAAATTTGGCCAGTTGTATCACCCTGATTAAGTACGGAGGGAAACTGAGGCAGAGAAGGATCGCGTTTGCCCAGTGCCAGGTGGCAAATGAACGGCAACACTTGCCATAGGAGTTGAGACTGCCAACCTCCTCCTGATAACACCGTCATTTCTTTAGACTGTGCTGGGTGTGGAAGAGCTGAATCTTGGGGTTTTTTTTTTTGATTGATACTGTTTGATTGATATTGCTTTGTTTTTTTCTCAGCGGAACGAGCAGAAATTTTACCCAGCGAACGCAGCGCGGAGCTGGAATGAGATTTGTCCCAAGTGGCAGCCCCTTACACGCCAGGTTGCGTAGGGCGGACGGTTAGCAAAACGTCCATCGGCAGCGGAGCACGGGATCGGAGAGGGGAGGCCGGGAGGATGGGGAAGGGGGGGACGAGGGGGGCCACTTACATGGTAATGTTTCTGCACGGTTCTTTTGGATCATTATGCAGAGCTGTAGCACCAGTTGAGGGGCGCTCTCGAGGAAAGTTTCCAGGAGGCGCAACATATTTACGTCTGCATATTCGTACATCATAGCCCAGTAGAAACGCCGCTGGTGTTCCTTCCGCCTCTGGCTCTGGATCCCCAGGTACATAGTTCGGATATACCTGCAGCAAACAGGAGGAAAAGCCGAGCGTGAGACTTTGGCACGCATCAAAACGCGCGGGGGACAGAGCTGTGGGCCAGGTGTGTGGGTGAAGGGAGGCTGTCCAGATGAAAGGGAGTCTGGAGTGTCTACACAGCTCTAACACCATCTTCTGAAACATTTTATATTGCAGGAGTGGGAAACCTTTCACTTGGACCACCCAAATGTGAAGCACGGGGGTAGGAAATGCTCATGAAACATTTGCACAAGAAAACAACTCCCACATTTTCTTCCCGTGATGAGAAGAATCACAGAATCACAGAATGGTTAGGGTTGGAAGGGACCTCTGGAGATCATCTAGTCCAACCCCACTGCCAGAGCAGGGGCACCTACAGCAGTTGCACAGGACGGCGTCCAGGTGGGTTTGGAATGTCTCCAGGGTGGGAGACTCCACAACCTCTCTGGGCAGCCTGTGCCAGTGCTCCACTACCCTCAAAGTAAAGAAGTTCCTTCTCATGTTAAGATGGAACTTCCTATGGTCAAGTTTGTGCCCATTATCCCTTGTCCTGTCACTGGGCACCACTGAAAAAAGACTGCTCCCATCCCCCTGGCATCCTCCCTTTAAGTATTTGTAAGTATTAATAAGATCCCCCCTCAATCTTCTTTTCTCTAGAGTAAAGAGACCCAAGTCCCTCAGCCTTTCCTCATATGAGAGACGTTCTAATCCCCTCATCATCTTTGTAGAGAAGCTACTTGACAAATGCTGGTCATGGCACTTGGCGGTGGCTTGACAGATTGTCTAAACCCCTTCAGCACTGCAGTAAGTAACTTCCCTCATGTACCCCAGATATTTGACCCCCTTTCCTCACAGGTGGAGCAATGAGACACCACCTGCACCTTCAGCACGTGTGTGACCCATAAATGCAAAAGGCCACTACTTGCCACTGATCAGCTATTGAGACTTTGGGCAATGTTGGACTAGAAGGAGGTGTCTCCCGCACCGACAGGTACCGTTCTCTTGCCTCGGTTTCCACATCAGGTGTGCAAGGAGACCTGCAAACCTCATTCTGGGGGCACAACTTCCCTTCAGGGAATATTTGGCCAACCTTTCTAAGCGGAGGTGATTAAGTCAGGGTAGCACGAGGTGCCCAGATGTCACAGGACTCATGGCATTTAAGAAAGGAAGCATCTCCTAACAGGGTCCTCTCTAATGCTTGCTGATATTAATTATCTAATATCGGGTCTTTTTCCTTCTCATCCTGAGCGGTGGCTGTAACCTTGTGCTCTGAAATTGGGGATGGGAATCATTTCACCTAACGCTGACCCTGAAGTTTGTCATCTGAGCTAGTCAATGGAGAGAAATGTCCCCTCCTGGGACTGTTCATCTGTCCCACCTCAGATGCCAGCATGACGGTGGACTGAAGTGCCTTCTGGAGGCTCTGGGAGGGGCTCACAGCACAAACTGGGGTTTCGCCAAAACGATTAGGTCATTCCTTGCCACTTGGGGCGAGATTGCACAGCAAGGAAGAGCAGGAGGAAAGGACATAAGCCTCAACAGCCTCTGTATCTCCAAATTACAGCCCGGGACAGGGAGCTGGGAGAGAAGCAGAGGTAGCCATGCAAGCCCTGCCCTTTCTCAAGCACCTTGTCCTTCCTTCCCCTTTGCAGTTCGCAAGCACAGAAGATAACAAATCCCGAAAGAAGACACAAGGACACACAAAAAATGACGCAGGAAAGCCACCAGATGGGGCTCGACACTCGATAAAATGCTACGCCAGTCACATACGACACTGGTGACACTGGTGTGACATCCCCAGCAGAGCCCGAGTCGGGTGGAAATGCCCGTGGACCACCTGCTGTCCCACTGTCACCAGTCCGCCTCCCACTCTCCAACATGCTCAAGGCCACCGCCGGTACTCATCATTTCCCAGAAACCCCCCAGCCCCAGAAGCTGCAGGATGACACAGGAATCCTGTCTTTTCTTCATGCATGCAGGAAATTATGCCGGAAAAGCAAAGCTGGGGAAGAGTGGCTCAAGGAGAAAGCAGAAAAAAAGGAGCACTCAATTGTTTTTTACAGCAACAACAACTACACAGGGCCACCAAAAAACAAGGTGGTGGTGCCCATAAGGTGCTGCCCACAGGCAAAGACAGTATCACCTCTTCCAAACTCTTTCCAGAGACATATTCACCGAAACCGCCTTGTAGTTTTGCATAGCCTCCCCTTCCCAGGAGCTCCAATTCCTGCTAGTACATGAAACCTAAACTCCTCTTCTGAAGGTTAAGCCACTAATTTACCATCGTCCCAGACACAGATACGGAGAATTTATTCATTTTCACCCTGCAGCAGTCTTCTACCTGTTTGCACATAGTTACCATGTAAACCTTCAGTCTTTTCTTTTTCTCCAGACAGAAAAAAAGTCAATTTCTTTCAGTCCCTTCTCACAGCTCACATTTTCTAGACCTCTGCTCTTCCACATTGCTGTCCTCACCAGCTGTCCCCAATTTTGGGTTATTTTTAAGACTGTCTACTTTTCTGAGCGCTCCTGCTTGGCAAAACCAGACTATAACAATGGCATTGAGTCATTCAAAAAGATCAGGAAGAAACTAAGAACGGACACCATGTCCTGCAATGATTTTTCCTTGATCTCTAGGATTCACCACCATCCACACAGTTTAAGCCTGAATATTTCTAACTGGTCACAGTGAGAGGATATGCCACCTATTCATGGAGGCCGCACACAGAAAGGAACCTAAAAATACATTGGATTAATGTAATTCTCTGATCCTTTCTCCATCAACATGCAGAACAACGGCAATGACAGTAACACCAAATTCTCTTGGCTGTTGAACCCACAGCCTTTTGCAAAGGCCATACCTATTGTGCTCCTTCCATGGATTGGGAAACTGAGTCATGGATCACCAAAGTGGCTCTCCCAAAGTCCTCCAAACAGGCGGGCAGAAGAACCATCTTTTAGTGCTGTCCCCAGTCTCTAACCACCACAACACAAACATGTGAGTGGGATCCCACAATCACAGAATGGTTTGCGTTGGAAGGGTCCTTTAAAGACCATCTAGTCCAACCCCCTGCCATGAGCAGGGACATATTCAACCATATCAGGTTGCTCAGAGCCCCGTCCAACCTGACCTTGAATGTTTCCAGGGATGGGGCATCCACCACCTCTCTGGCCAAGCCGGGCCAGGGTTTTATCACCCTCAACATAAAACATTTCTTCCTTATGTCTAGTCTAAATCTTCCCTCTTTTAGTTTAAAACCATTACCCCTTGTCCCATCGCAACAGGCCCTGCAAAAAAGTCCCTCCCCATCTTTCCTGTAGGCTGCCTTTAAGTACTGGAAGGCCACAATAAGGTCTCCCCAGAGACTTCTCTTCTCCAGGCTGAACAACCCCAACTCTCTCAGCCTGTCCTCACAGCAGAGGGGCTCCAGCCCTCGGATTGTCTTTGTGGCTCTCCTATGGACCCCCTCCAACAGGTCCATGTCTTTCCTGCGCTGAGGGCTCCAGAGCTGGAGGCAGTAAAGTCCTGCTCTGCCTGCTGATGGTCCTCTACCCAGGACACACATGCTTCCTTGACATTGTAAAGCCCAGCTCTGCCCAATTTGATCTGTACTAAAAGACCCAAGAAGGACAAATCTGTTCCTGTCCAACTTCCATGTGGGACCGTGACCTCAGGAATCCCTTGGAATAATTTTGGCCAGCAAAAGGTCACAGCCTTCCGAACAAACAGTGCATGAGCAAAACAGCTCCAAGGACCATTTGCAGGTGAAGGGAAATGAATGTTCCTCTGTACTCTCTTCCCAGTCCATGCAAAAATACGCCACTCTCTCTTTAGCATCCTTCAGAACCAAATCTGACAAAGAGAGGAAAGGGAGGACTGAAAACCCGTTCCTCCTTGGTGCCACTCGATTGTGAGTCTTCAGCAGAGAAAGCACAACAGCTAACTGGGAAAAGCAGTATTTCTACCTGGTAGGCTTTCAACAACTAATAAATACCTGTTTAATTAATGAATATAAAATTTCACCCAGCTGTAACATTGGTCATGCTTAATCCTGTTTCTGAACACGAATGTACAACACCGGTGTAAGCAGCTTTATTCCAGTATATCTCTTTCTTCTTTGTGGTATTTTATTTACTCATTTGAGGGCTTTTTCCTACCTTTACTAACACTGGTTAAGTGTAGACAAACTCCAAAGAAAAAAAAAAATCAATGTCGTTTCACCTGAAATTTGTTGTTCTCGGTCAAGCTGGTAGCAAACAGGATTCTATAATTAGACTTTCAAATCCATATGCAAGCCTGATCTTCAATCTTTAGCAACACGATGCTTCCTCTTATGTCAGTGAAAGCCATTCACCGCTCCGTGCTTTTGAATATCAGGCTAATTTATTTATTTAAGAGCTTAATTTTGGATACAGGAGCCTAACTTTGGTCTTTTTATTTTTTGAATGCTGGCTATTTTTATATACGAGTGTGTGTATTTGTGTGTGTGTATGTATTTTTAGTTCTAAGTCCCATCATGGCTTCAAGAGATAGAACTAATTTGGAGTTGGGAGGGGGATTCGAGGCAATTTTCTTTAAATGCACAAAGGATTGGCTGTCCCCTCTGTTCTGGCCGGGTTCCCAGAATTCCTGTTGGTATAATTACCCTCACGCTTATTTACTACGTATGTCGCAGTAGCACACAGACTGCGCGGGGCAAAGTCACTGCTGTCCCTGCGCCAAAACATGTTTTTAAGGAGCCAAAGCCGTCGGCTCCAGAAATGTGGTCAACTAACCTCTGGAGAGAGCCCCAGGATGCCACCAGGAGGGAGAAGAAGAGATGCTCCTACTGTAAAAAAACCCTCCACCCTAAGTGCTATGGAAAAAGATGTTTCATGTGGATGACAGAGGCTGCTCAGCAGTCTCAGCAAGGGCTGTAGCAGAAATGTCCAGAGAGAGGATTTTGGAGTCAGAAGCTCTGTCTATACCATTAAACAAAGCAGACCAAAGACCAGCCTTTGT